ACGATACCTAAACTTCATACTCTATTTTGTTTACTCAGGTTTGCCTTTTATACCAGAATGGTAAATGCATCGATCCCGACGAATGTCCTTTCCTTCACATTTGCGTTAACGCATTGACAAATATCTCATGTGAATGCGCGTTATCACACTGCTTCACCGATAGACGAAGCGGGAGTATTCTGAAAAGATATAGTCTTAGCCCGTCTATATGGTTTAAATCAGAGAGACTAATTGAGTTCGTGCGCTGTAATATTATTATACCGATAGAACAAGTAGCTATACCTGCTAGAGGGTCCGACGCTCTCCTATTGTCCCAGAAAGAAATATTGTCTACTAGCGGTTGTGTAGTTCCTGATGTACAAGATCACACAAGAAAACTTGCAGCGCTTGCATTAGATGACGCAAGAGCCAGCTGTCAAAATCCGAGTTGTAGCATGAAACCGTCCGTTTGTAGAACTGGAATGAGGTCTCCTCTCGTTTACCATAACAGTGTAGACAGAAGAAGATCTTTAGGGTGTTCATCGACCTTGTATGACTTAAATAACAACCTCGATTATGGTAGAGAAATATTTCCAAACTCGAATAATGCTGGCCAGAAAAGGGCAGGACCTCCTCAAGCGCATCACTGTCAACAAGAATCACATCTAAGCATGCCTTCGACTGATTCCAAGACTCTAGGTATTTGTCAAACTTTTGCAACAAGTGACGACTTGGACAGGGCTTTGAGAGCAAGTCTATGCCCTGACTCTACAAAAAAAGTGGATAGTTCATATCCGGTATGTCACACGACACAAGTCGAGTCAACGGAGTCGGTATTGAACGACAAAAAATCAACTCCAGAGTTAAACGCCTCACTGGGTGATGCACTCATGCGTTCCACGCTAAAAAGTAAAAAGAAACAGACATACAAAAGAAGAAAAAAACAGACAGTGCATTCATCTCAAGGATATCAGAGGTCAGGAGCTAGCGACAAGCGAGAACAAAAACGGTACAGGAAGTATGTTATTTGCTTCAGTTATTAAAGCTCATTAAGTTTAATCCATTGAAAGTGTTTTTTCTTTTCGAAACATCCTTCAAAAGGCACCTCAAAAAGATGAGGCGAGCCCATTATGATAACAACTAAGTAAACGAGCAATGGTCCTTTTGCCTCCAAATATGATCAAATGTGTGGAAAAGAACCCTTAGGTAAACCAGCTCCAAATAGCCCTCCCACCGATCCAATCTGTCGACTTCAACACTCGATCGAAATATTGAACACTGTCTGGCCTGAAAATATGCTTGCTTTGTATACTAACACCCTTATGCAGTATACATAAATGCTGACAAATGCACGACAATGCGCAATGGCTAACAATAGTCATTTCTTATTATTTTCGAGGTCATTACCAAAACATGGGTTTTCTCCAGAGTCCTACCAGAGCTATACACGTGTCCCTTTGGAGCCAAATTCCAGTGAATTTCAAGAAGTGGAGCGCTTGTTCAGAGAGAGTATGAAAGAAGACAAGGTCATTGTCAGTGTAGAACGAGTGGAAAATCCGTTTATGTGGGAGACGTTTTGTAGGTAAATAGCAATAGTATTTATTTCCACCGCACAGCGTGACATGCCCCCCAAGTTCTGATTGTTAATTCTCCCCTCTAGTTGCTATATATTTTCCTTGTGAGTTAGTTACGAGAATTTGGTTTTTGATCATCATAACAACTTGCACCTGATAAGTCTGAGTATTCTCATAACCTGTTTGCTGGATAATGTGTGGATATTGTAAGGAGAAGTTCCTTTTTAATCACTTCTGAGAGTTAAAGGGTTAAAAAGAAAAAAGACGCTTTTGTGAGACCCTGTGAACAAGAAAGACACCCCCAAATATTCAATAACATTAAGGTGGCTCCGCACTTACAGTACAAATTTTTATATTTCAACTCTAACGAAAAATAAATATAT